AGAGCTGCAGACTAGAATAACCCTGCTGCATGGGGAGTTCAAGGCATTAGGTGGTACTCAGACATAAAAAACAAGACCTAAGGAGCAAGTTCACAGAGGGGCCAGCAAGAGGGCTTCCTGGCTCTAACATGGTTTCCACCTCTGACTTAACCACATGTAACCCAGTTAGCCGTTCTCACAGGCATAAGATGAAATCTCAAAGTATTTTAATTTGCATTTCCCTAGTGGCAAAAGAATTTTTTTTCCGGAACTTATTTATGTATTTATTGTTGTTTTGTTTTGTTTTTTATTGAGCTTTTAAAATTTCATACAATGTTTCCCACTCAAATCCAGACCCCCCTCCCTCATCCATGCCTCCCCCCCTCCCTCCCAAACCCTATGCACTCTGCCATCCATGCTGAGTCCTATTCATTCAGGTCTTTGTACCCAAATGTCCTTCAGTGTAAATGCATCTATTGGAGTCTAGTCAGCCCATCCAGTGGTCATATGTAAGTCATACTCTCCCTCATCCAGCAGCAACCAGTCTCAAATGGTTCTTGATCTAGTTCTGACCCACCACCTAATTCTCAACACCCCTTTATTTTCAGCTATGTGCATTTCATTGGAGAACTCTCTGTTTAGTTCCTTGCCCCAATTTTTAATTATTTATTTTTTGATGTTTAGTTTTTATAGTTCTTTGTATATTCTAGACATTAGCCTTTAGTCAGCTGTATAGCTGATAAAGGTTCTTCTATTTCTGTGGGCTGTCTCTTCCACTCAGATGATGGTATCTTTTGATGTACTAAAACTTTTTAGTTTCAAGATGTCTCATTTGTCAATTGTTGGTCTTAATGCCTGAGCTATCTGGGTCCTGTTTGGAAAGTCTTTTGCTGTGCCTAAAGTTCCAGTGTATTTCCTACTTTCCCTATTTTCTTCTAGATCAAATGTAAGATATCAGGTCTTATGTTGAGGTCTTTGATCCATTTTGAGTTGAGTTTTGTACAGGATGAGAGATAAGGGTCTAGTTTCATTCTATATGTAGCTGTTTTGATCAGTGCCATCTTTTAAACATACTGTCTTCCCTTCAATATGTATGTTGACCCCTTTGTCAATAATCAGGTGGCTGTATGTATATGAACTGAAATCTGAGTCCTCATTAATATTCCTGTGTCTGTTTTATGCCAATACCATGGCAGTTTTATTCCTATAGCTCTGTAGTGTAATTTGAAAGTGATGTATCCAGCTCTTCTTTCATTGTTCAGGATTTTTTGAGTATCCTAAGTTCTTTCAGTTTCCGTACAAAATTATGAAATTTGAGGGTTTTTTTTCCAGTTTCTGTGAATAATTGTGTTGAATCTGTAGATTGCCTTTGATAGGATGGCCATTTTCACAATATGGATCCTAACCATCCATGGGCATAGGAGGTCTCTGCTCTTGGTTGCCCTCCAGAACTTGAGGGTAAGACTCTATTTATTGCTTAAGACACTACATATGTGAGTCATAGACCAAACATGGAGAAATCAAACTGCTCCTGACCTCGAAGCTTCATTTACACTGTCTAGCTTTTATGGTGTTGGAATGTTCTACTCAGGCTACTGAAAGAGAAAAGCAATCATCAACCTTATCCAGTTGGGAAGCCTGTAAGTTACAACAGCAACTGGCCTGGCAAGATATACAAACTGGTACAACGGTGGCAAAAATGTTATGAGAGTAACCAAGGACTTCTGATTATAGTTAAGGCCTGCTTCACAAGATAGAGCTCATACTTGGGCCAAGAATCTACAGCTAGATAGGTCACAGGCCATAGGGAGAGCCTGTAACTATTACCCTGCTAAATGGGCATAGCAATAACTGACTCTTAATGACTTATTGTCATACGCATAAATTAGTCCAACTCTCAACAAAGCTTCTTTCAATAGATGGTGGTTAACACAGAAATCCACAACCAGTCAACATGTGGAAAATAAGAGACTGTGGAGTGCTCAACCCTAAATGAGACATCTATATCACACCTCCCAAGGCTCAGAGATCACTGCAGAAGAGGGCTGGAATCATTGTAGGAGCCAAAAGCAGTAGATGAACAGGAAACCTCATTTTCTGGACACAACAGGACAGTTTCACATATGAATCTACAGTACTTATTATAATATTTCAAGACCTGTACAATCCCAAGACATACAAAAACCCAGCAAGGAAGTGGGGAGATAGACAAGAAACTCCATCAGAGCTGAGAAACTGTTGGTTTGATAGCTGCTGAGAGAGGAAATATCAGTTTCCCTTAAGGATGTGACACTAGGTATGTTGTCCAGGTTCCCTGGAATGGATCCATACCCAAGTGCATTTCGGGAACATAGATTTATATTCCTTTGAAAAATAGAGAATGCCAGGCATGGTGGCACACAACCTTAGTCCCAGAACTCAGGAGGCAGAGGCAGGCTTATCTCTTTAAATAAATAAATAAATAAATAAATAAATAAATAACAGAGGATGTGAAATGAGGGGGTAGTTAAGGTGGAGTGAATCTGAGAGCAGGTAGAGGAAGGGGTCAGAATACAATCAAAATACAATGTATGAAATTCTCAAAGAATCAATAAAAATGCTATTTTTAAAAATGTTTCTCACTGCTTTTTTAAAAAATAATGTGTGAATAATGTGTGTGTGTGCACATATGTGTGTGCATTCCATCTTATGGATCTATAATCAAACTCCGATCATCCCATTTCATAGCAAACATTTTTACAAACTGAGTCACCTTGCCAGCCCCATCTTACAGCTTTTGTTCACATCTAATAACTGACATCAGTCCAATGTCCACCAACAAGTGAGTTTTTATTTACTGTGGTGTATTCACACAATGGCACACTGTTCAACAAAAAAAAATGACAAATTACTATAATCCAAAACACAGATGAGTTTCAAAAATATTAAGGTGAGTGAAAGAGGCATGATACAAAAGAGAACAACCACCATGCTGGTATTTACATGAACCTAGGAAGAGACTAAACTAATTCATGTTGTTAGACACTAGAGCAGTGTATGCTGTTGGGCAGTGGCTGGAGGGTGTATGTGGAAGAATGCAGGAGAAGCTTCCATTCCTTCTTTTGATATAGTTGAAACAATGTGTAATTTATAAGCTTTGGGTCTTTACATTTCACTGGATGAAAATTTTGTGATAATTGAAAAGTAAAACCTGGCTGGGCTAAGGGACCATGTGGAAGAAAGGCATCAGTTCTGGAACTCAGAAAACCTGAATCTGTGCCCAGGCACTGTGCCTGGTTTATCCTCGAGCAGCCTGCTGCTGTTTCCCAACACTTGCTTTCTTCTTTTTCCTGTAGTGTTAGGGGCCCTGACCATGATCACATGGTCACCTCCAATAAGATTTCATTACCTAGTCTTCCTTGTAACTTCAAGGGAGAGAACAGACATTTTTTTTCACCCCTCCTTGTTCCCTGATGAGCAGAAGGCTACCATTGTGTATAAAGGCTCAGCATCCATCTTAGGGCATGTGGTGAACACAGGAAAGGAAGGGGTGATGATGGACAGACAAGACAGAGAGTGGTTCTACCATGGTTCAGGTCTTAGTCCTGTCTTGTTTCACATTCTGTTCCTTGCAACTCAAAGGTAATCTAAATGATATTTCAGTCTCTAAAGTTATACATTACAAATGATAAATTAATATTTCACTGACTTCACAGAATTGCAGTAAAGATTCTATGAATGGGTGTGAAAATGCTTTGAAATATGTGCAAGCTATTTATCCAAATATGTCAGTGGGAATTTGGAACATTTCCATGCAAGTCATAAGGTTGACCTTGTTTTATTGCAAGGTAATATATTTAAGTGACTTCTATAGCTATGTCTCAAGGTAACTCATGAGAAAAGTTTTCCTTGTTTCCAAGTCTGACCCAGCCTCCTTCGAAATGATAATGTTTACATTGCCTTGATGTTCATTCATTCAGTAGCTACTGAGTTCCTGCTGTGTGTCACTCATCATGCAAGGCTACATGGAGAGGGCAGGGTGTTTAATAGGCTGATAATTCAGTCCAAGCCAGATCAGCCTAGGGAACACATGTGGAAAAGTAGAAACAATTTCTTGGGACTCCCATGAGGTCACACTGAAGCAGACAAAACATGAACTTTGGTCAGCAGATACCAAAATCCTTCCACATAGCACAGTATGCTAACACCAGAGAGGAAGTGAATAAATCTGAGGTCACAGCACTAACAGGTGACAGGCTAGGATTCTATTTGTGAACTGAAGTTCCCAGGGAAAAGCCCCATCTATGTTTAAGATTCTATAAGACTGACTGCATGATTAGAACCTCAGAATTATGGAAAGTAGACATGTTGCAGATCTAGGACAAAGTTATCATAGGCCAGCTTCAGCCCCCTTAACAATAATCATTTAGTGCCCACTTGTGTAACATCCTTGTGACTATGGCATGAATCTTTTGGAGATGTATTAACTTAGACCACCTGCTTCTGCAACCCCCAAAGCTAATATCAACAGGTAACATCTGACGCCAATAGCAGAGGTTCCCTACTCTGCCACAACTACCCCCCCACCTGACTTCTTACCAATATATTTGAAAAATACCTTGATTTATGATTTTCTATGTAACAACAAAAAATTCATGAGCCTGTTACAACATTGGAACATGGCATTTGGTATAACTTGAATCGGTGTTCCAAGTCACTCGTATTTGGCTCAAGAATAAACTATCTTATTCCCTCTGAGGTGAAAGCTGTGTTTTGCACTCACACATTATAGGAGACATATCCCTAAAATCTTATACACTTTGAGCTATAGAGCACTAGAGAAGTGATAGATAATAACCAAATTATGAACATATTCCAAAATACTGACACCCTACACAGGACTGACATTTATGACAAAATGGAACTGAAGTGGCACCCTTAAAATAAAATTAAAACCATGAGCATATAAGTTTTGACGGCTGCCTTCACTGAAGATTAAGTCAGATTATAGCTCATTCCAGCTCTCCTCACTCTATATGCTATTTTTTTGTTTCATGTTTTCACTTTTATTCCAGCCTTGAGCTCACTTTTTTGCCCCATAACTTCCTCATAGCATTTTTCACCTCTGCATTCCTAAGTGTGTAAATGATGGGGTTCAGCATGGGCGTGATGACCGTGTAGAACACAGCCACAAGTTTGTCTTCAGTGTAGGTGGATGCAGGTCGCAAGTATAGGAAGATGGCAGGCCCAAAAAACAAGACGACCACCATGATATGCGAGGCACAGGTGGAAAGGGCTTTACGCCTCCCCTCTGCAGAGTGGTTCCTCAGGCTGAACAGGATGACAACGTAGGAGGCCACCAAGAACAGGAAGGAAAACACAGAGAATAATCCACTGTTGACAAACATAATAACCCCTACGACAAAAGTGTCAGTGCAGGCCAGCTTGAACAAAGGATGGAGGTCACAGAAGTAGTGGTCAATCACATTGGAACCACAAAAGGGCAAGGGGATTGTGATGAAAATCTGAATGATGGAGTGAAAAAAGCCACCCAACCAGGAACCAGCCACCAGACGGTGACAGACCGGCCGACTCATGATGCTCCTGTAGTAAAGGGGTTTGCAGATAGCCACATAGCGATCATAGGCCATCACTGTGAGCAAGAGGATCTCAGTGACCCCAAAGAAGTGGAAGAAGAATATCTGAGCCAGACAGCCCTTCAGAGAGATGGTCTTAATCTTAGCAAGTAAGTCAGTGATGAACTTGGGGACCACAGTAGAGGAATAACAGATCTCCACCAGGGACAGGTAACTGAGGAAGAGAAACATAGGGGAGCGCAGACTCGGGCTGATGCTGACTGTCACAACAATGAGGCCATTGCCCACCACCGTGGCCAGATACACAGGAAGAAACAGCACAAAGCACACCCTCTGCACCTCTGGATCCTGGAAAAGGCCAGTGATAATCAACTCGGTCACATTGTTTGTGCTGGCCATGGGCTCAGTCCAGGTGCACTGGACACCAGCAATTGAGGGACCTGCAATAAAACAAGCAATGATTGGAGCACCAAGCCACCTCATTTATATCACTTGAGAGAGTGCAAACCAATTAGCAATGTGCTTCCTACCCTGTCATTTAGTCAATATGCACTCACTAAATATTGTATGCTACCAATCTCTTTATTATAATTAATTTATTTTAGTATTAGAAAATGAGACCTTAATAATGGGAAATGGAAGGTTAGAGAAATGATCATTTGCCCCAAAACACACAGAAAATGGTAAAAATTTCAGCCTCAGACCAGCATTTCTGGCTCTCTGGGCTTCTTTTTAATTCATGCTAGTTATTCAAAATGTTATGAGTTGTTCCACTGAAAACTTATGTGTATCCTCTGCATGGTATTTTGGTGGCTCTCAGCACTGATCTGCAGCCTCGTCTCTCCTCTCTGCCTGGGCACTTGGCTTCTTACTGGTCACTGTGCCCTTCCTCCATGCTGTCTTCTTTGCTCAGTGGCAGCAATCCTCACTGTACCCAGGGCAGAGTCCTTCATCAACCTTGTAGCATCACAGACTGTTTCTATGACAACTGCTTACACACCCTTGGAGAACAGAGCTGAGTAGCTCATCCCCACTATTCCACAATTACCTTCCCACCTCCCACCACCAAAACCACCAAGTCCCTCAACGCAAAAAGCTGTCCTCTGAGAGCAGGCTTATGGCTGGCCAGCAGTTTATGTGGAGCCAGACTAGGAATCAGCAGCAAAAGTACAGGAGGACTTTGAGGGTCTCTCTTCATAGGTTTCCTGAAGTAGATACGGAGTTCTCACATCTCTAAACACAGAAAACACAGACGACACTACAAACTAATAATATGTAACTGAAAACAGTATTCTCTAGATGATGGTGCCCCAATTAAATGTTTTTATTACATATGATCTAAAAGAAATTAAGACGAAAGATATGAATAATTTTGTTCTCTTCTGTAAAACATATACCTATTTTCCCTGATATCAGATTTTGTCCTAAATTTTTTTATAAATATACCCTTTATTGTTTGCAATTGAATAAAAATATTATATTTTGAATTGTGTGTACAGTGCAGAAAAATTCAATTAAGCTAATTAGTATATCCATCAGCTTGCTAACCACTTAAATTTTGAGAAAGGACATTAAAATCTTTTGCTTTATCAATTATGAAGCAATCAATATGTCATACAGAAGTCTATACGCCCATGTTCATTTCAGCCAAGATAAGGAAGCATCTAAAATATCCATGGATGCAGAAAATGTGCTATATCTATTCATTTGAATTCTATACGTCCTTTCAAAAGAAGAACTGTCCTTTAAAAGACTAAAATGCACCCTGAAAGAGTAAGAAACTGGATAAACAGAAAACCAAGTCAGCAATGTGAACAGATAGAAACAAATCAGTTGTCATAAGTCCTCAGAAAAGGACATGTAATCAGGTTTAAAATAAAACAAACTCATTAAATATTAAAATTTAAGAAATAAGTATTCTGTAACAAGAATATTAGTAGAAAAGGAACCTGGCATCTTAAAATACTGATCCTCAATTCAGTTCATTGTAGAGTCAAAGGCAAGGGAAAGCCCCTCATTCCTCAGAGAGACTTTCTCATTCACTTGGGTTAATTAATTCAAACAGGCTTCCATTTCTGGTGAGCAAATTCCATGTGATAGAAATCTAGGTTTTAAAAAAAACCAATGAAATGGGGCTGGAGAAATGGTTCGGCAGTTAAGAGTGCTGGCTGCTCTTGCAGAGGACCCAGATTCAGTTCCCAGCACCCACATGGTGGCTAACAACCATCTGTAACTCCAGTTCCAGGGGATCTGATGCCCTTTTCTGGCTTCCAAGGACACTGCACAACACGGTACACCTATAATTAGTGCAGGCAATACACTCATACACATAAAATAAAAATAATAAAATATTTTTTAAGAATCCATGAAATAAGCCAGACTTAGAAAGATGAGTGTTGCCTGGATTTCTCACATGCAAATACAGAACAGAGGTTGAACAGAGGTTGGAAACGGAGAGCAGGAAAAGGACTGTGGGTCAGATCAGGACACAATGCATCAAGTGCTGAAATATACACTGAACCCTTCAATATGCATAATTAATGTATGTTTGTAAAATGTGCATTTAAAGCTACTAGCAATAAGAAAATTCAAATGGAATTGGTAGTTAGAACAAATGAAAAATATTGTAGGTATAATGACTAAGAAGTTTTAAATACAAGTACTTAAAACATGAAATCCTTATAAAGACAAAGCCACAGAATTCTCCTGAAGAGCATAAAACAAATGTATCTT